GTTGTGAGCAACTCATCGGGGAAGAGGACCCCACTGTGCAAAAGTGAAAGAGACACTCATCCAGAGTGGCTCACAGACACCACCAGGGCCCTGAGGTAACCACCAGCCGGTTGCCATGGGTGCATTATATTAGCGTGCTCAGCTCAAACATACTGGAACACCACTGGAAGTGGAGGTCCCTCTACATGTGTGTCTCTATTCTTTTTTTCTTCTTTTTATAGTATCTCAAGCCTAAGGTATACCAGCTTTGCTTTAATCATTTGTGTATGCATGAAATTAGATGGAACTTTGTTTTTGTTATTTATATTTTGTGGGTTTTGTTCTGTTCTGTTTTGTTTTTCTTGAGCAATTTCTTGGGCATTAAAATGTTGCTTGACTTTAGAAACTGTGCAGGGTAGCCTATGGAAACACAATTTTTTTTCACAGAAAAATTTCAATGTAAGACAATTCTCCAGAATGGAGAGAAGAAACCCCTGAACCCAGATTTGTATGTGGAAATTGCTTTGAAAGCCTCACTCACCAACTTACTTTCAGCAGTTAAGTTCAGAATTTCTACTTTAAATAAGTGTTCCTTTTTAAAAACAACCTAGCCAAAAGTAGTTACTAATAGTTGGTTAATTATCACAAGTCTTTGAACTGGAACAACTGGTTGGCAGACCATTGTACAATCATCTATTAGAATTATGCGGAAAACTTATTGCTGCCGAGACACTCATGCATTTAAAAGATTCCAATTCTTTACAAATGTTCTCTCTCTCTCTCTCTCTCTCTGTCTCTCTCTCTCTCTCTCGTGCGCTCTCTCTCTTGGTCTCTCTCTCTCTCATTCTCTTTCTCTGTATCTCTTACTCTCTTGCTCTCTCTTGAGTTTTTTCCTTATTGGTATAAAGAAAATGAGGAAGACTGTCAACTTGACTGAGTTCGAGCATCATTTAATTTCCCTTTTTGGCTATCTTTTCCCACATCCAAGTCACATAATTCAGAAAGTTTTAGTGGAGCTTTATGTGCAGCTTTCCCAGATCAGAATGCTACACCAGTTTCAACCACACCCATGGGATGTTCTGTAAAAGGGCTTGTGTGTATAAGGCTTCAGAGTGATGACTCACACGGTCCAATCACAAAGGAGTGCTCTGGAAAGCAGGCTAATGAAGAACACTCATCCTAAAGTGAGCTTTCTCTAATGCAGTAGTGGGGCATGCAGGTGTAGGTCATGGATGTGCCATTTATTTACACACACATCCTTCACTGCCTTTAGCTGCCGTACTCATCCACACCGTTTCTAGAAGAACTAGCTATCATCCAGACCTAGCCCTTCAAACTTTTGATCTCCACCATCTTCACTCTTTATCACAAGTCCCCAAACACACGAGCAAGGCAGACTCCTCCTTGCCGAGTGAAGTGGAATGCAGGGGAGGAGAGTAAGGTTTGTATGTTCTCCCGCAGTGCTAATTCTGTGTCCTGTCCCACTAAACACCGCCCAAGCTCACCCTGCCCATTCACTATTACTGTCATTGGTGTTGTTTGCTAGCTATCTGGCCTTTGGGACACTACTTCACAAAGTCACATGCTTCCATTTCGTCTCAGAATGGGTAAGAAAAGTTTAGTTTTAATAATAGAATCAGGTGAGATTTATAGTTAGTTTGTGGAAGTCCTTAGAACAGAGCACACTAATCGGCCTGATTGTTAACTTCGGGTTTTACTTAGAAAAAAATACCTGGAGCCTGCTGTCCCATTCTCAGAATTTGGAGTGGGTGTTAGGCAGGTCAACTAACAGATGTCCAAGAGACAGACCCCTAACTAATCCACTTTATCACTTCCTCTCCATCCTCCCTTCCCCCTTTTCATTCCACCCCACCTCCACGCAGTTTCCTCATCTCCAAACTTGCCACCCGGCACCACTTTGGAGTTTACTAAGAGGCATAGCTGTTACTTCCTAATAAACCTGAGTTTCTTGCATGTGTTAGCTACTGTGAACAATGTCACTCTTGCATGTGTTAGCTGCTGTGAACAATGTCACTCTTGCATGTGTTAGCTGCTGTGAACAATGTCACTCTTGCATGTGTTAGCTGCTGTGGACAATGTCACTCTTGCATGTGTTAGCTGCTGTGGACAATGTCACTCTTGCATGTGTTAGCTGCTGTG